TATCCCTGTTGCTCCCTAAGCCTACCCAGTATCTCCATTGCCAGCTGCTGTACCCTAATGTAGACGATACGCGCATCCGTCCTCTCGAGCCGTATAGACAGTGTCACTGTCGCTGCCATTATACGCTACGCCCCGCGGCTTGTGCACCGTTTCGCGTTACCTTGCCGGATCTCTCCTGCACAACAAGGCCGACCGTATCTTGCAAAGCTTTGCTGTGTCTTAACCCCTAGCCAGGCAACTAAAAATACAACGTTTCCAGCTCACTAACCAAAGCACAGCCTGCAAAATCCATTCCCCCAATGTATAGTTTGTAATCGATAATGCGGAGGGTTGAGAACGTATCGGATATGTGTCTCATAAGGTAGCTTCTGCTAGAGCTCATCCGCTGCTGTGATGTCTGCCGAATGCTTCGCAGAAGAGTGAATCTTGCTAAAAGCATCCCCCTCGTTCGAGAGTTCCTCTGCCGCCATGATACCGCTCTTGTACATTCGTAGAGCAAAGTGCCAAAAGCGTCCCTCCATCCCTAATCCACCCATACCTCCGTTGGCCTCAATAAGACTCTACCACAACCTTTATACATTCTCGATTACTCCCCTTAACCACCTGTAAACTTCCAATCCGGTATACCCGCAGATTGTACGCATTGTTGGGTTGTGAAAATTCTGCACGCTAGCGCCCCAGAGGTGTCCTGTCAATCACCGGCACAACGCTTTCCTTCTCAGGCTCTGCTCCCACACAGATTCGTAAAGGCAGTCCGCTTTGAAATGCTCCTTAAAGCAATTCTCAGGCTCTGCATCCCACTGCAGATTCGTAAAGGTGGTTCCGCTTCGAAATCCGTCGTTGTTTCGTTGATTGTCGGGTAGTTTTCATCTCCGTTCGACTGATAGTCCTCTGTTCCGGGCCAAATTCACGATACCTTCACTCCCAGTACCGCTCCTTTTTAAAGCACGACCTTTGCCCAGCTTCAGCCTGATTCAATCTTGGCTCTGTAAGCAAAATTACAGGTTCGTAGGATGCACCACGTACAGGTGTTGAATCATCGCATCCCTTAGAGACCTCTTTGTTACAACCACGGATCTTACAATAACCGATTGTGTGCTTACAAGATACGATTTGATCGATTTAGTATGGGATTAAGGTCCTGATCGGGATCAAATGTGCACAAAGTCTGTTA